CCCCCCGAACCCAATTCTGGTTATCAAGGCCATTATTGAATTTTTAAAAACCTTTTCTTTTCCAATGTTTTGAGTAAAACATTGGTGGCGACTCCATGAACTCATTTTTTAAAACCATTAATTAAAGATTAGTCTGATGTCCGGGCATTCCTTAATTGATGAGACTTTTAAAAGGATGTCTAAACCGTTAGTCGCGAGATCGGAAAAATTCGGGTTGCGACATTCCCCTTATGAAATTATTACTCATTAGAAAAGAGCTCAATTTATCATACCACGCTCGTGGTGCCTGTTTAAGTCCATATAAGGCTTTGTTTAATTTGAAAACATGAGATGGAAGTAGATCACTTTCAAAACCAGGGAGCTGGTTTACATATACTTCTTCTGATATTGTTCCATTTAAGAATGCGCTTTTAACATCCATTTGATACAATTTCATACCAGTGCAAGCGACGAAGGAAAGTAATATTCTAATAGCCTTTATTCTAGCAACAGTGCAAAAGTTTCAATAAAGTTTATACCTTCCTATTGTGAATATCCTTTTGCAACTAACCTTGCTTTATTTCTTACCACATTTCTGGATTCATCTATCTTGTTTCTATATACCCATTTTGTGTCGATGATTGACCTATCTTTTGGTGCTTGCACAAGCTACCAGACGTCAGTATTTTGGAACTGAGTGAGTTCCTCTTTGTAGACCCCTAAAATTGTCCGAGTCGGAAATAAGACTCGGCAACATAGTCTACCTCCTAATTTCTTGAGATCAAAATTAATGATTCAATTATGTATTATACAAGGAGAATAAAGTGTGGAATTCATGAATATATATATATATATATATATAGCAAACAGAATTCATGAAAAAATTATTGGTACACAAATAGATAAATTGGACTAATTTACTTAACACAATGTCTAATACATAACCACCATTCATGGACTGATTGGCAATTGCCTCTACTGCTAGTATGCAAATAATTTCATCATTATCTTTTCTAAGAAGCTTGAGCAAGGAAGTGAGGCCACCAACTTGAACAATACTTTTTTTGTTAGCCTCTACATATTATAATAAATCAAATTACTATACAAAATAATTAAATAGTCTAAAGAAAAGCAACGAAATATTTTTAAAACCTGTTTTCACTATAACAATTGGAATTTTAGTTGATTGTGATTCTGCAAATCCAAACAAAAAGGTTGAGTGTTAAGCCATTACAAGAAATCAACAAGTAGATAATTTAGATTTGTAAACACACTATTAAAAGTCATTTAATTATACAAGTTGTTGTCTTATTGTCGTAAGTGTAATTAAGAGCCTATATCCATGAGTTTATTGTTCATGTTACTCATGCTTTTACAAAAGTAACTTAAATCTCTTTTAGAAAAAAAAATAGCATGTGTAAAATAAGAAGACATGGGCCAAACCTATTTTCGCAGTTGCAGTAAATTTTGTAGGTAATTGTGATTCTACAAATCCAAAAAGAAAAAAAAAAGTGTTAACATGTACACTTTACAAAGAGTATTTATAGGTGCAAGTACAAAAGGCATTACAAATTACCATGAGTACCAAAGGACATGTGTGGCATTTTTGGTGCTTTTTCCTGGCCAATATTAGTATCGAAGACTTAATTAAGACATCAGAAAATAAAAATTGTCTTTTACAATCAGAATTTGAAAAAAAAATGGTTAAAAGCATTTGAATCATACCTGTCCAAATGAGCTTTCATTGAACTTTTGAAGCATAGATAGCTTCGTTGGAAAATGTTTATACATAAATTTTCTAATGAAAGATAGTTTTGAAAGTAACTTATCTTGATTTTGTTTCATCAAATTCATTTCTTCATCATGTTTTTCTTTTAACTCCTTTAACATCCTCACCTCTTGCTCTAATCTTTGTACTACCTCATTAGATATATTATCAGCAAAAGTACTTCCTATGGAAGATTTAGAACCCCACAGCAAAGAAATCGGAAAAGGCCAACTAAAGCCTTAATATCAGTTCAGCCTGGAGAGGCTGAGCTTAGAATATACTCATTCCTCAAGTTTGGAGAGGCTAGAAAA